GATTTCTTAAGCGTTTCGCAAATGATTTAATTGTTTGCCAAATGATATTTAGCACACATTTGGGTTAAGAATATTCTGTGCAAATACCTAATAGCAAACAAAATAACAAGACAAATTGCTTGGAAAAAGCAAATGTGTTTGTAATACACAACTAAAACTGCGGTCATTAATAGACTGCCAGAAGTAATGTCACAGAAAAAACTCAAATTAATATTACATTAGTTGGCGATTGAAAACAAACAAACATATATACAACTACTGATTGCGAGTCTAAGCACATAACATTACATAAGAAAAAGTATCCCTGAACAAACATTAAGTGATAAGAATTTCAATATTACATCCTAATAATCGGCTAATGAGAAGTATACTAAATTAATTACAACTATATATTATAAGCTAGGCTAAATATAACACACAACAGCTTTGATAAATTCTGTGTACATTTATTATGCGATAAGTTTTATGTGCATTTATGACAGAATCAGTTCACAACAATAATTTGTGTGCAATTTGTGCAAGCTATATTTAAATAATGGAAAATCAAAAACAAAATATTTGTACTGAAGATTTTACCTTTCTGTGGATTTTGAGCGCAAATAAATAATTATCTTTGGTTTAGTACTCTTTTGCGCAGCTGTTAACAAAATACGTAAGTAAGTATGGTAAGTAAACCACACTCTAAAAACAAAACCAAATTATTTTATAAGCCTATTATAATTGCAGCGATAATTGACGGCACCTGTAATGCCATGGCTTCTCACGTAAGGGGAACAGTAGTGTTACGAAAGATCTACTTTCGTAGACTAAATACAAATACACATAAACTGTTGATAAATAAAACACAGAATAAAATAAAATAAAATGAGATGAAAACTCATATAAATGTGAATATTAAATAAATAAAACTGTATTACTTCGGAGACTTCGCACTAATTCATCAAAACTTCAATAATAATTAAATCTCCAACAAATTTATCATTATTTTTATGATTAAAAAAATTGTCGCATAAAAATTTAATACAAGTGCAAGTTCCCTACCTTAACATCAAAACTCAATATTCATTAAGTGTTTGCAAATATATTTAAAAGCAATGCTTAATCGGCAAAAAATATGTCCACAAAAAAGTCCGCATATGTTAGTGGGAGAGAGAGACATGTATCCTAATGTATTACAAAAATAACTAAATATTTGATCGCAATCTCTATTAACAACAAAAAAACTATGAATAAAATGTAAGCGAAAAAACATGAGTGCACTTCATCTGAGAAGGATAGGGAAGTTAGCTATGGTTTGTTAGGCGACACAAAAATGTTATTTAAGAAAAACTTCTTTCTCTCTAAGGATGAGTGGAATATGTA